TCTTTGTTCTTGCCAGACAGGCTCCATTTTTACAGGCTTCCCAATCTCTTTTTTAAGTGTATGCCATAGCCTGGCTTTGTTTTAGCAGACAGCCCTTCACAAGTGCTGAAGGGTTTTATCTAACTCCCGTCCCGTTAAAAAGGGATATTTCTACAAGGGATTTTAAAAATGAAATGCCGGCAGACTCCCAGTATTTCTTGTTTTCCCTAGGGCAGAAGACGGAGATGGCATTATTTTGGGCACAGCCTTCATCAGCCTTTCCCAGATCTCTTGCGCAGGAGCTGAAACAAAAAGTAAGAACTTTCCCACCCTCTTTAAGACTTGTGGACTTCAACTCCCAGAATCCCCCACCCAATATGGTTGGCTGGGGAATTCTGAGAGTTGAAGCCCACAAGTCTTAAGGTTGCCACCTTTGGAGACCCCTGCCCTTGAGGATGCTTCAGAAGCTGCAACAAGGGCAGAACCTCAAGGTCATAGGTCTCCAACAGAAGCCCGGATGCCGTCCGTTGCATTACGACATCGTTGCACAATTACATCATTTGCTTGGATGGGATTGTGATGTCCATGATGTCATTTGCCTCCCATGAACTTGACAATATTATTTGTAGAGCCAGACATTGCTTGAAAGCTCCATCTTGTCTCCACTAGTCACCCACTGGACCACTTTCAACACGTTCCCGTTTGGTTTTAAAGCAGGGGTAGTCAACCTTGGCTCTTTTATGACTCGTGGACTTCAACTCCCAGAATTCCTGAGCCAGCTAAGCTGGCTCAGGAATTCTGGGAATTGAAGTCCACGAGTCATAAAAGAGCCAAGGTTGACTACCCCTGCTTTAAAGTCCCTAATCCGGTGCTGAGTTCTTTCCCTGAGGTGGCAGCTGTTTCCATCCAAGCTCACCCAATCCTTAACTTTTGGAGGCAGTCCCTAGTGGTGGTATTAGCAGAGTGTGTGGCATCTTATCCCACCCGTTCACATCTAGATGCATCATGGGACCATTTCAGTCGCAAACGTCCATGACCCAGGACCCATAACCCTCCAGATACCTGGATTCAGTTCTCTGAAGTGTCAGCAACGAACTGTTGTAAATTCAGGACTACTTGTATTGTTACCCCTCTGTTCTTCTCATTCCTTTCTGACATGTTTTCTACTTTGCATTAAAAAAATCTCTAGACCGATCACTTCAGTGGGATTTGGGAACTGGACTGAGGCTTCCGGGAAATAAGCCAAGAGAACCCCTGAATTCATCAGCCAGCGTACAAATCCATTTTTCTCTTAAACTCTTTGTTTCCAGAAGAGACCTCAGGCTTCTTACCTTGCTTTGGTCCCAGCTTTCTCACCTTCTATGGAAGCCAAAAGGAATTTCTGAATCCAGCTGAATCTCCTGAGAAACGCAGGATTCAGGCGGTAAATTTGACCCATTAACCAAGCAAAGTCTTATGAGCGGAGGTCTAAAGTGGATTGTCCATTTGTCCTGCAAGACACAGTAGCTGGAAAGCTAATCAGACTTATAGGATTATGGCACATACATAGGTCAGCCTTGCCTGTTTGTCCTTAGGTTTAGGGCTATCCGTTTACTGCATGGGTGGGGAACGATGGCCCTTGTATGACTTCTGGACTTCAACTGGCTCAGGAATATCCTGGGAGTTGAAGTCCACAAGACATAAAGGGGCCATCGTTCTCCACCCCTGATTTAGTGGATAGACCCTCTGCAGCACAGACCTGAAATTTAGGCACCTTGTTTTGACAGTTAAGGGTTTTAAGGAGCAAAATAGGTGGTGGAGATACATAAGCTCCATTGTCAAGGCAACAAGAGGTGAAACATTTTTTAAGTCTAAGTCAGATAGCATTTGGAAGCAGCTCAGGCAGACACTTCTATGATTCCCTGCAGTATAAGTAGGGGAAAGAATTCCAGCACAATTAGACTTGCAAGATCTCAATAAAAGTAACTTTAACCTTTCTGTGAAGTTGATGTCTTGGTCTGATCTCTTATGTTTCAGGCTTTCCTAATCGTGCAGTCAGGAATTAAAATTATTGTTGTTGTTGTTGTTGTTTTTAAAAAAATCATATTCTCAGGATTACAGGCCAGCATCCAATGTTATAAATGTTATGACTTCCAAGCCCCATCCTTCCATTGAATCAACTCATGTTGAGTTGAGACCATATTACTTGATTGCATGGCCAAGACTAAACTTCCACACATTTATCAACCTGCACAAGATAAGACCCACCCAATTCAAGAAAGTATGAAAAGATTCTTGGCAATTTTTTTTAATGCTTCTCTTTTCTTCTGACAATTGCAATCTGCTATTTATTCCACGGACACAATCTCTCCACATATTTTTTCCAGGAAGAAGGGACCACATATCGTGGAAGAGTTCTTATGGAGTTGCGGACTATCAGGGAACCCATCCCGGTTCAGAAAATTGATGACATCCCTGAAGAAACTGTTAAAAAGATGCAGGTAACCTGGCAGTGAAGTGGATCCGCAATGATTTTGCAAGAAAATATCTCCTAGAACTGAAATATGCTGTGGACTTTCTCCAAAGTCATTTTGCAAACCTTATTTTAAAAATGTTTATGAACTTCCTGCAAATTGCTCTTTGTGATATTTTTGAGATGCCTTGATCATTGGATGGGTGGAAGGTGTTGCTATTGGTTACCTGTATTTCCATCCCTCTACTACAGCCTTCATAGTTACCCATAGTTCCCAAACAGAAAAAGCCCTAATGAGAACTAAAGAAAGTATAAAAAGTGTAGAAAGCCATACAGCCTCCAGAAACCCACACAATGACAAACATGCTATTCTTACACCCCTTTCAGTTGATTCTTTAGTAAAAATGTATTACTCTTTATTCAAAATTGAGTTCTATGCTCTATTCTACTTAGGCTATTGGCTTAATAGTTGCTGAACACATTTAAGAGTTTTAGTAGTATATTTTTGAATTTCCCTGAAACATTTCTGTCGTAGGTGGGCAGTACTGATCTTTAAATCATTGAAATTAACAAACACATTAAGGTGAAAATGGGCAAAACATAACATTACAAAAAAAACATCTTTTTTTCCTATGAATTTGCTGGATTGCTAGAGTTTCATTGTTGAAACTCTAGCAACTGAGCTTTAATCAATTAATCCGCTTTAATCTGAATGAATGAAAATAGTTCAGTCTAACTTATAAACCCAATAAATAAAGTAAGAGGTTGGAAGTGGCAAATTATGTGGGATGATCTGGGCTAACTTACACTTTTCTTGCATAACCCATGACCGTTCTTTCTTTTCTCAGTACTTCTTGCCCCAGTTCCGGTATGGTCTGTGTGTGGTCTTTTACTCTGCCACCATGTTGGCTGATATCACAGAACAGATCCAGTTTGAGGTCAGCCTGGGGAACTACGGGAACAAATTTGACGAGACCTGCAAACCGTTTGCGTCCACTACTCAGTACTGCCATGCTGTCTATGATGGTAAGCAAGGGCAGAAGGAAAAGTGTCTGGAGGAAAACCAAAGTCTCCATGCCAGATCTGCCATCACACCACTTCAGCCAAACCTTGCTTTGATGGCATCCTGCCATAAAGAAGGAGAGGGGGGATGGGAGGGGATATAGGGAGGGGGATGAGAAGAACCAGAACTGCCAACCAGAGTCAACGGTTGAGCAATCCCAAGGACACAAGCAGGGGAATGGAATGTAAACAACCACCAAAGAGGCACCAAAATGTGGAACTGTTACCAAAATGCCTAATTTGAATATCATTGGACATTAGCAAGATGACCAGGGGGAGGATAGTCCAGGAGAAAGGAAAAACGCTGGGGTTATGTGGGAATATTCAGATCTGTCTTTGCTTACACTGTAACCACTTGCCTCTAGTAAAAATATACTTTTTGCTAGAAATGGAGGCAAGGATCTTTCTTTCCCATGGAGTCAAGTTGGGACAGGCCCAACACTCCAATACTAAATAAAGATCAATGACCTCATTTGATCCTCAGCAGCCCCACTGTGAGCTCCGTGCAAAACCAGATTGCTTCTGTTGCAGGTAATTTCTACTATTACCTACCTTGGTATGACACTAAACCCATGGTGACCATCACCTCATTCTGGGAGGATGTTAGCTACCGCGTTGCCTGCACAAACACCCTCCAGTTCATTCATGAGAGGCTGGTAAGACAATCTACCAGTTCTTCTTTGAATCCAGGCTTGTTCACAGGGAGGGGGTGGTGGTCAAAAAAGTCAAAATGGCAGTGCCTTTCCTTTTTTAAAACTTGTGCTGTGTTTCAACCGTATGGCAACTGCCATTTTGACACCTCCTTGAAACCCAGGGATTGCTTCTAACTCTAAAGGCTGGAAGCAGGCAGATCTTTGGGAAATTTCCTGCATTTCTGCCTCCCGTATAGCCAGAGATCACTTCACTTGAAGAGACACGGGTGACAAGAATTGATGTGTGCTTCTTTCCCAACAGAAAAAGAATCTGGATACTCTTAAAACCATCCGCCTGCCCCATGACCCATTGATGGGTGCTGTTTGGAAGAAGCTGCAGAAAGAATTGGTGGAAGACTGCAAGTAAGCTTTTGTGAACAGAAGAGGATATTCTAACAGAAATGTGTCTTCTGGGGAGGACACATCTACTAGAGCAGGGGTCTTCAAACTTGGCCCTTTTATGACTTGTGGACTTCAACTCCCAGAATTCCTCAGCCAGGCACGCGTTGGAAGACCCCTGATTTATAGTTTGGCATGTTGCTTTAATCCAATCAGGTATGGTTTATTCAACAAATCCTGAGAGACCTAATGAATAATAATAATGCAGGCACATTTCTTAGCCTAGAACTAACCTGGATTTCATGCAAATGTGACCCAGAGAGAAGAGTCAGGGAAAGAAGTAGCCAAGAGGAAAAGGTGATCCATTGGTGAAAGAGGGCTGGTGGAGAACATCATCTTAAACAGCCTCAAATTTGGAAATGCATTATCTCTCTGTACCTACCTAGTTCTAGGGCAGGGGTAGGCAACCTCGGCTCAGGAATTCTGGGAGTTGAAGCCCACGAGTCATAAAAGAGCCAAGGTTGCCTACCCCTGTCCTAGGGCATTGATCTCCTGAGCCTCCATCTTTATGTACTCTTCTTCCCCCTTCCATCTTCAGGAAGCCATTACCAGCCTTGGACATCCAGAAAGCTGTGACTGTCCTTGATAAACAGCTGTGGAAACTCCGTGTTCGGGTCCTCCAACAAATCAGCAAGGCTGCAGAGAAAACCAGCTGGAAAACTCCCTTGCAGAAACTCATCCCTAAAGTTGAGGGTTGGCTGAATCAGATTGCCTCAATTGCAACTGAGGTACTCCTTGTGGTAGCTTCTACAGGGTGGAGGACGGAGGGGGCTGGACTGTCAGGAGGATGGGCTCTGCCCCATGAAGATGCCGTCTTTCATTCCAAAATGCCTTTCTCCAATGTGTCTTCTCCATCAGCGGATCCTAGATGTGTCCAGAACTCAAGTGAAAGTTGGAGTCGAGGATCAGACCGTGCAAATTCACCCAACTCTATATAATCTAAAATTAATCTCTTGATTAATTTTGAAGGAACATTAGGCACCAAGGATCAAACCATTCTGAATTTCAGCGTTACAAGAGCAAGGCCAGGATTTCTGGAGGATTTGAACGTTGTTTCTGAAAGTTGGCTATAAAAATAGAGCAGCCTTCCCCAATCCACTCATGTTTCATTTTATCCCAAAGGTGCTTTTTTTTTCCCACAAGGCAACTGGACTTTCTTGTTTTTCTTTGAAGATGTTTCGCTTCTTAGTTTTTGAAGAGCTGAAGAAGCTTCTTGGATGAGAAGCAAAACGTCTTCAAAGAAAAACAAGAAAGTCCAGTTGCCTCGTGAAAAAAAAAAAGCATTCTTAGGACAACCAGGACCTGGATGACGGAGAATCTCCACAGACCTGTTTCCTTTTAGCATTCCAGAATACAGCAGGATGATAAAGAAACGCATCACGGAGACTAGGAAGTGACGGCTGCCTCTCTTTCCTTCTGCCCTTTCCAGACTCAAATAAGTATCCCAGATGTGGTGATCTGGATGCTGTGGGATGACCGGCGTGTGGCCTACACCCGCGTGAAGTCTCAGTCGATCATGTTCTCCAAAGACGGCCCTTACGCCAAAGGCAGGCTGTGTGGCAAAACACACACCCTCTTCCTAAAGGTAACAAGAGGCGTTTTGCTTTTGGTCATTCTTGCTCCAATCAACTCAGGAATGGACGCCTTTGGGTTTTTCTGGTTCTCCCCAGACATTTTGCAAGCCTCTCCCTATTTCCTAGAATTGCGGAACCACAGAGATGGAAGGGTTCTTAGAGGTCTTCTAGTCCCAGCGCCTGCTCAGTACAGGATCTGCTAGGCAGCATCTCTCACAGAGGATCACAGACTTTGTGGAAAAGTCTGTAGAGGAGGAGGAGGAGGAGGAGGAGGAGGAGGAGGAGGAGGAGGAGAGGGGGAAGAAAAGGAGGAGGAGGAAGAGGAGGAGGAGGAGGAGGAGGAGGAGAAGAAGAAGAAGAAGAAGAAGAAGAAGAAGAAGAAGAAGAAGAAGAAGAAGAAGAAGAAGAAGAAGAAGAAGAAGAAGAAGAAGAAGAAGAAGAAGAAGAAGAAGCCACACACCCCCAGTGTGCCATGACAACCACAGCCACGCCCCCATGCTCCCCCTAATGGCACCACAATGCTGATGTGGCCCTGGCACTTTGTGATAAATAAGTGGGTTTTGGGTTGTGGTTTGGGCACTTGGCCTCTAAAAGGTTCACCCTACACAGGCATAAGGTTTTCCTTCTCCTCCGCCCACCTCCCAGGATATGCAAAGCAAAACAAATTACAGCCCCATCCCGGCTGTGCTCCGGGTTCGAATGTGGATGGGGCGGATGGCCGACTGCGCGGACTTCATGAGGTGCTGTGAAGGGAGGATCGCCGTCTACGCGGAAACGGTGAGATGAGGCAGGAGAGTTCGGGGCGGGGGGGGGGGGAGAAATCCAGGATGCTCTTAGTTGGTAGGAACTGAATTCAAATCTCTGGTTAGCTACCAAGGTCACTGAATGCAATGCAGAATGCAGAACAGCAGAGTTGGAAGCAGAAAGAGGGATAATTGCGGAAATAATTCTTTAAAAAGTTAGTCCACAGCTTCTCTAGTAGGTAGTGTTGAAGTGGAACAGTTTACGGGTAGTCCTCGACTTAACGACCACAGTGACATTTCCATTGCTAAGCAAAGAGGTCGTTAAGTGAGTTTTGCCCCGTTTTACGACCTTTCTTGCCACAGTTGCTAAGTGAACCATTGCAGTTGTTAAGTTAGTAAGTGAAGCTGCCTTCCCCCATTGACTTTGCTTATCGGAAGCTGGCTGGGAAGGTTCTAAATGGCAGTCACATGACCCTGGGACAATGCAACCGTCATATATATGAGTCAGTTGCCAAGCAACAGAATTTTGTAACTCTAAGGATGCTGCAACGATCGTAAGTGTGAAAATCGGTCATAAGTCGCTTTCTTCAATGCCATTGTAGCTTTGAACGGTTACAAAACGAGGACTACCTGTGTGCTCCTCAGCGCCCTCTTGTGGCTAATGTTGGAATGAAATCAAAAAAGTGGCTTGGTCTACCTACCAGAATCTTCGCCGTTGTCTTACAATTTTCCTTATCTCCCAAAATTAAGGTGGAGACAAAACCCAGAGATGTACATATCTATAATTTTACTTGGAGTAAGTTTTGTTTCTTTACTTATTTTTTTAAAACTAATATAGCCACTTAACGTATCCGTAGTAATCCTAGGTAACCCACAACCACTTTCTGTAAAGCCAAAAAAATAAATACAGGTATTCCTCAAACGTATGACCACTTGTTTAGCCACTAGTCAAGGTTAGAACGGAGCTGAAAAAAAGTGACTTACGAGCAGTCCTCACCCTTATGACCCTCTCACCCTTATGACCCTCTCAGTGATTGCAATTTGGGTGCTTGGCAACTGACATGTATTTATGATGGTCGCAGCATCCCAGGGTCACGTGATCACTATTTGCAGCCTTCCCAGCCAACGTCTAACATCACAGCCCCACAAAATCTCACCAGCTTTATATTTGTTGGGCTCATTTTCACCCTAGGTAAGAGGATGAGGGCCCTCCAAATCTTGGGGGGAGAGGGAAGGCAGCCATGGGGAAGGCGGGCCTCCCGGGTCCTGCCCTATGGCAATATCCTACGGGGAGGAACCCAGAGGTGGGAAAGAACAAGCTAGAAAGCATGCCAGCACTGGCCCATGGATGAGGATTTGTGTTCTGATGTTTTCAGTACGAAAACCAAAAGAAAACACACGGAATATGGGGAGTCATGGATCTTATGCCGCACCCCAACTTTTCAGATGTGACTGGACAGGTCAGCCTCCCCAAAGACAAGTTCCAACTACCCACAGGTTGGCAATGGGGCGGCGAGTGGGCTGTGGAACCCCAAAGGAGGTGAGCTGATGTATTTAGTAATTATGTATTTTTTTTGTCTTTCACACACACACACACACAAACACACACACACACACACACACACAAATGTCTTTGGTTCACAAGGTCTCAAAACCTGTCCACCATAAAACCCAAAATGTGGAGGATGGGTGAAGAAATGCTCAATAAATGACAAACCATCAAAGTAATGGTGTGCAGAACAAGCCTTGCAGGATGTCTCAAATAGTAGGACAACAGATGGAAATGATGGCCCAAAAGTGGGCATTTTGAGGAGACATCAACAAAGCTGGGCTATAATCTGGAAGGTCAAGATGCCAGCTAATGGATGGAGCTTTGATTGCATACCTGTGGACAGGATCTTAATTGTTGAATAGAACGGAAGTCAGCCTTTTACCATTTCTTTACTAAGTTGAGAATAGAATAGAATAACAGAGTTGGAAGGGACCTTGGAGGTCTTCAGGCCTAGAGAATAAGGCAATCCCCCCCTTCCTTGTGACAGCCCCTCAAGTACTGGAAGACAGCTATCATATCCCCACTAAAATAAGAGAAACAAGGATTTGTCCATTCCAACTGTCAGAGCAGTCCGGAAGCAGATGTCAAAAAAATCAGGATGACAGTCCTTTTAATGCGCATGGCACATGGTACACACTTAAAAAGTGGGTGGGCTTCCATTGCATGGTCATAAGTGCTTTCTTGATGTTTTTGACCACCTCTCAGGATGTCACATCTCCTGTAGATAGAATCATAGGGCTGGAAGAAACCTTTAAGTCTTCTAATCCAACCCACTGCCCAAGGCAGGAGACCTCATTGCATCCTGGACAAATAGCTGTCCAGTTTTTTCTTGACGTCCTTCAGTGATGGAGCACCCACCAATCCAGGAGGCAAGCTCTTCCACTGATAGCAGCACAAACCTTCTGTTGAAACTATGCTTCTGACTAGGCTCTTGTTGGACAAAGAGACCAATTATTCTGAAGTGATGCAAGAAGTTTACGAGAACCAGAGTCGACAACCTGGCCGTCGATGGAAACCAGCCAGGATCCCTTACAGCAATGCGGTGAGTGGCTCAGGTTGAAACTTATTGTTGAAGGGAAAGTCTTCATCATGGTTCAGTCCAAGCTGGGAATAAACAACATGGTGACTGCTTTAGGAAGAAAGTTGCAGTTTATTGAAGAGGAGAATCAGACAGAAAGATGGCTCTGGAAGAAAAGAGAGAGAGAGCCCATGTAGGGAGTGGGTTTCTATACCTTCTTGAGCCTTTTGTTTGGAGTTGTTCCTGTGGCATGAACCTGAGTCTGAGTGTGCCCTTTAGTATCTTAACTGCTATACCACTTTTTCCCCAACATGGTTTGGAAACTCAACTGTGAAGAAGTTCCTAGTTCTTTAAAAGTTTTCCCAAATGCTAGAGGCCAGTTTGCATACCTTGGTCTGGTATTACAGACTTCTGGGCTGTTGCATTTCAAATACATGTTTGGAACTTCCTTCCTCCCATTTTCTACTCTGTGTTGTCCCCTGCCATTCTCAGAGCGGTGCCCCTACTCCCCGGAAAGAAGACATCTTGTGTCCTCCTGGATGGATCTTTGTGGAAGAGTGGAAAGTGGAGGTGAACCGAGCCGTGGACGATGCTGGCAAGTGTTTGGCTGCAGCTAGATAGATATTTCTTTGGGAAATGCAACAAGATATTTAATTGAGGCAGTTTTAAGCTGAAAGAAAAGTACTGAGGGGAAGGGCAGACATTAGGTAGATAAATGACTGGTGATCCTGACAGTTCCAAGTGGGTCCGTAACGGGCAGCGTTGGAAGGGAAGCGTTGCAGCCGTTGCTCCATCGTTTGCCTACGGGCCTAATGGCACCTCTTTCCTCCCCAGGGTGGGAGTATGGAATTGCCATCCCACCGGCTGAGTTTCCTCACTCCTGGAATGCAGCTGAGAAGACCTACCACACGCACCGGAGGCGACGCTGGTTGAGGAAGCGTTTTCGGAACCTCGGCAGGGAGACCCGGGAAAATCAGATGGTCGCCTTTCTCCAGCTGGTACTGAATCTTAACTGGGGAGTGGTTGTCAGACAGAAAGTCACTGGTGGATGAAGAGGGAACTTTGGAAACCAGGACATTTTACCAGGCCCATGGAGGGTGGACGGAGTTGAGGGCAGGCTGACCCCGAGTGCTGGTAAGGAGACTGCCCTGGAAACCCTGAACGAGATGGTAGTCTTAGCATGAAGCTCATCTTATCAAGGAGATGCTCCATTACGTCGTCTTCATCATAATTTATTAAATTTTATTTTTATTATTATTTTACTCATATCCCACCTTTATTATATTTACAAATAACTCACGGCAGTGAACATATCCAACAAATCTTCTTCCTTTTTTTCCCCACAACAAAAAAGGGGAGGTAAATTGGACTGAGAGACAAGGACTAGCCCAAAGTCACCTGGTTGGCTTTCAAGGCTAAGTCAGGACTAGAACCCAGAGTCTCCTGGTGGTTGGCCCAAAGTCAGTCAGCTGGCTTTCCTAACTTGAACTCATGATGTTCCACTTTCTGGCCTGGTGCCTTAAAACCACCAGACCAAAGTATCTGCCCAACTCTTGATGATTCTGGGCACTTGCGTGGGTTAGTTCCCATTTGGTGTAGTGGCGAAGGTGCTGGTCTAGAAAGCAGGAGATGGTGAGTTCGAATCCCACCTTAGACATGAGAGCCTGCTGGATGACTTTGGGCCAGTCTCTTTCTCTCAGCCCAACCCACCTCACAGGGTTGCTGTTCTGGGGAAAAGAGGGAGGAGGAAAGAGTATTAGGAATGTTCCCCACCTTATTTCTGAAACAAATAATAGTAAAAATGGGATGTCAAGAATAAATAAATAAATTGCGACTCTGATCATTGGCCACGCTACTGTCATAACCTCTCTGGGTTACCCACTTGAGCAGGGCTTAACTCTGGCTAAAATAAGACTTCCTAATCAGTGACTCTCTCTCTGTGGTTCCTGCAGCACTCAGACGTTAAAGCGAAACAGGATGTCTGGGAATATGCTCCACTCTACGGCTGGAGATTCCACCTCCAGAGGCAGCCAGATGACGTTTTTCGGCGACGCTGTTGGCGCAGGAAGCTTGCTCCTGTGGCACCCAGCTTGGTGGCACCCATTTTCTACTTGGAAGGCTCCTTGGTAAGGCTCCACACCCATTTGCACTACTTGGGTGACCCTGAGGACACAGATAAACCTCCAAATGGCCTCAACGACTCTTTAAAAGAATGCAAATGACCAGCTGTCTGCAAGGAGTATAAATCCTTCCACTCCCCACCAGAGCTGAAGAAGCTTCTTGGATGAGAAGCAAAACGTCTTCAAAGAAAAACAAGGAAGTCCAGTGGCCTCTTGAAAAAGCACCTTGGGTTAGCCCTTGGCATTACCTTTTGGGAGGTTCTTAAACCATAAATCCCCCAAGAGTAGTAGCACTGGGGTATTCCTTGCCCAGAATTATGAATATCTCCTTTATTTCAGGGAGTGGAGGTTGGTGGCCAACAGAAAAAGAAAAAACCTGAAGCAGGAAGGAAAGATGAAAAAGAGGAGATTGAATTAGAACCAACTGCTTCACAAGGTCTCTTGAAGATGAATACTCCTCTTCTCTTCTGCGTCTTCAAGAGTGAGTTCGCAGAACTACCTTTCTCCAGTTGAGGTCCTTCAGATGGAGTTGGCTTTCACACATTAGAAGACCCAACCAGTAATGTTAGGGAAGATTGGCTTATATAAGGACAGCCACGAAGGGTGTCCAACCTATCCTTTTGAAAACCATCCATCTTAGTGCTGGCTGCAAATTTGATGAGTTCCTCTTCTATTCCTTCATTTAAATCATTTATGAAGAAATCAAAGAGTACTGGGCCTAAAACAGAGCCTTGGGGTACCCCTTTGCTTACTTCCCTCCATGTAGATGCAGTTCTATGGAAGACTACAAGTTGAGTGGGGTTAGTCAGCCAGTTACGAATCCCTCATATGGTGATGCTGTCTATCCCACATTTTTCCAAGAAGTAGGCTGTGAAGTTCTACTTTGTCAAATGTCTTACTGAAATCCAAGTATACCCTTAGTGTGAACCTAAAAATTCTAAGATTCCCAAAGGGCATTCTGAGAACTGATAAAGTATCATCTTGGGAAGCTATGCTAAAGAAGCCAGAAGAAAAATTGAACTCATAAAAAAAAAATCTTCTTCTTTTTAGGTCCAGTGTATTTCCAGCTGCGCTGCTACATGTACCAAGCTAGGGACCTCCTGGGAAGCATCGTGAAAGGGACTGCAGGTGAGCATCGTAAACGAGATGCCTCCTAAACACCCAGCCAAGATAAAATTAGTTCACCCTTCCCTCATCATGTCTGTCTACCGTGAACATCCCTGTTCATTTACTCAGATGCACACAAAGGCACAAGTGTTGTTTTTCCTTTGAAGTTGGGAGGAGTTGATGGCTTTTCTGATCTAGATTCCTCCCCATAGGCTGGGGTTAAGTCAATTTGACTTAATGCAGCTTTTCTGTGTATCTCCATATTTCCTGTGGAAACCACAGTCCTTTCCATGGGGAATGATCTAGACCAGAACAAGGAACAGAAAGGGGATTAAATTTAGTGCAATGTGGCTATCCGAATCTAAATGGTTGGACAGTCTTGAACCCTATATAAGACTAAAGGTCCTAGAATCATAAACTTGGAAGGTTGAATGTCCAACCCTCCATCTATGTTAAAGCCTTTTGTCCAATGGTTGTCCAGGGCAAAGGAGGAGGAAGATGTGTTGGATTTGTTTGCCACCTTGAGTTATTTGTAAAAAATAGGAAAGGCAGGATACAAATTAAATAATTTAGTGAAGTGAGGTTTTGTGTCTCTGACAGATCCTGTGGCTCATATCTCTTTCCTTCATATGAGCCACTGCACCCACATTATCAACGGCACGCTGAACCCTTGCTGGGACGAGACCCTCCTCTTTGAAGACGTTTTGATTTATGGAGAACCTCAAGGGACTGCGCAGGACCCCCCCATTGTGGCCGTGGAGATCTTTGACTATGATTCAAGCGTACGTATGCAGGACTTTTCACCGGCTCACAAGAACAGAAAGTGAGCATCAGAATAAGTCACAGCTAACTGACCCTATTAAGATTCAATTCTTGTCATTTTGGCATTTTGCTATTTTGGTTTACAATAATTTCCAGGAGATTCAAACATTATGTCGGCTTATTTCACCAGTTGTTCCACCTAGCCTGAGAGTATCAGAGTATGTACTGGACGATGAGACCCATGTAATTCAACCATCCTGTTTAAAATAAGTCAGAGTATAGATTTTATGCAGTGTTTGATTGTCTCTGAACTTGGAGGGATCATGATCATGTCTGGTCTGAAGCCTAACATTGGTGGGATACCTTATCCATCCAATTTAGATGAAGAAAGGCTGACTTTTTTTCAACACATTTTTAACTTAGTGCTAATCAATATTCAGATTTTTGTAGACCTTCTACTCACCCCTTTGCTTTTAAACTCCAAAGGACTAATGATTCCAGGACTCAACCCCCAAACCACTCTTCCCTCCCTTTCTCCATCAAAATGACCATAATTATGAACCTCCCCACAAGAGAGACACCACATTACAGAATACAGAAGATAGAATACAAAATAATAGAGTTGGAATGGATCTTGGAGATCTTCTAGTCCAATCCCTTCTCAAGCAGGAGACCTTATATTATTCCAGACAAATGGCTAAAAATCTCTAATTAACAATCTTCAGTGCTGGAGCGCCCACAACTTCTAGAGGCAAGTCGTTTCACCGATTGATTGTTCTCACTGACAGGCAATTCCTCCTTAGTTCTAGGCTGGATCTCTCCTTGATTAGTTTCCAGTCCATACAAAGAACATCTAACTCTATACAGAACATCTAACTCTACACAGAACATCTAACTCTACACAGAACATCTAACTCTACACAGAACATCTAACTCTACACAGAACATTTAACTCTACACAGAACATCTAACTCTACACAGAACATCTAACTCTACACAGAACATTTAACTCTACACAGAATATCTAACTCTACACAGAATATCCCCAAAATGTCTTCTGCATCTGGGTGGTTGTTTTATTATCGTACCCAACACTCAGATGCATCTTTTTTGCTCTCGGTTACATTGTTCACACACCTATCCGCTTTGCATCACTTCTTTCTGATAGGCCAGATCCAATGATTTTATGGGAAGATGCACCTGTATTCCATCTGTGTGCTTGGACCTCAACTTACGAATGATACCCCGTCTCCAGAAGTATTCTATCACCAAAAACGAAGAGGAGAGTGGTTATCTCATGGCTGCTTTTGAGCTTCTCTTGGACAGGAAGGTAAAACACAAACGAACAAAAAAGTCACATTCCAGGTTTTTGAGGACCCCGGAGGAACTCTCAGAAGTACATAGCACCACATTGTCAAAGGGAACAATGGATTGATCCTTTTTCTCAACAAACCTTGGCATTTTTGTAAAAGGAGGAAGGGGAAGTGATCATGAAACTGAGTGATCTTTTCCAAGTCAAACGGTGCGAAAATGGCTTGAAATATTTAGAAGTATAAAGCAAAAGGTTGATTCTGTAATTATTTTTTCTATCCTACTGCAATGAAAAAAGACGCTACTATGTTTTTTTTCTTACTGCTTTCTGCACTGCTCTTTTTCTCTCTTTAATTTTCTTAATTGTATTTTATCTTATGGTAAACTTTAATAAAAATTTGGAAAAAAGATTCTGCCAGGGTTGTATGCCTGCATCTGAAAGCCAGTAACTTTGCTTGCAATTACTGCTCAGCATGGTGTTGTAGGAGAAGAGCCGGCAGAGAAGACTCAGCCTAGAATTGTTACATGTCCACAAATGAATCAGAATAGAGCTGAAAGAGACCTTGGAGGTCTTCTAGTCCAGCCCCCTATTTAAGAAGGAGACCCTATACCATTTCAGACAACTGGCTGTCCAGTCCTTAAAAACCTCCAGTGATGGAGCATCCACAGCCTCTGAAGGCAAGCTGTTCCACTGGTTAATTGTTCTCATTGATAGGACGTTTCTCTAGCACTTTCATCTGAAATCCATGGTGCCCACTTCAAAAAGTTCTCCCTTTTCTTCTTCCAGGACGGATCCATGGGGAAACTTCCACCTCCGACTTGGAAAGATGGTGTTTATACAATCCCCAAAGGAATCCGGCCCATCTTGCGGTTGATGGCTGTGGAGGTGAGCTTGTGAACCTGTTCAGATGGCTCCAGACATCTTGGTTGGCAAGAAATGTCTCCACAGGTATCATGGGAATGGAAGAATCCAGCTCCATCCTATGAATCTCTCTTTCTGGTCAAGCCCCATTGTGAGTGACAGGCTTCACCTATGAAGGAAGCTTTAAAACAATTGAACAGGACAAAGCGAGCAACAAGAATGATCTTCCCCTACGGGCTCCTCACCAAGCACATATATTTTGTGGGCTATAATAGGGTCTTTTCCTGTTGCTGAACTGAATTCCTCTCCACCCATTCTTCAAATAGCAGCATAAAATTCTGTTAGCCCCTTTTCTGACCAATAGATTTTATTAAAAGTTAAGACCAACTGGGGTGGGGGGGAATCAATGGAAGATTCAGCTGACTCTTTTGCCAATCTCCCCCATAGATTCTTGCCTGGGGTCTTCGAGACATGAAGAATTACAATCTGATGGTTGTCAACAATCCTAGCCTCATCATAGAGTGCGGAGGAGAGTCTATTCAGACGACAACCATCAGGAACTTCCAAGAGTACCCAAATTTTTCAATTAACATCTATCTCATGAAAGTGGTGAGTTACATAAGCAAAGTTTAAGAAACTGAGGGAGGAGTAGAATGCAAGCAGTCCTTGGTTAACCGGTGCTTCTTCAGCACTTGTGACAGCACTGAATGCATGGTACTTACGACCGGTCCTCAAAATTCATGTGATTGCAATCCAGGCACTTGGCCACCAGCTCACACTTACAACAATTGCAGCATCCCATAGTCACATGATTGCTCTTTGCAACCTTCTCTGCTGATTTCCCACAAATAAAGTCACTCCTGCCACTTTTTTTCTCAAGAAAAAAGTGACCCTACAGAGCACAAAATCCCAGGGTTCTTGTCCTCCATAGCAGACTCACACCACAGCATTCCCTCCCCAGCTGCACACACACATGCACAGTGCTGCAGCACCCCCAGCTCGGCCCACATACCCTCCCATGGCATCACAGCGACTCGTCCCCAGCCCACATGCAGTTCCGTGGGATGACAGGACTGTGTACCCAGCCCACCTTCACTCAACACAGCATAACTTCGCCTCACTCTGTAGATCTCACCTTCCCTGCGAGTCCCCTGGGATTTTCAAGTTCCTACCAGCTTCCTCATTGACTTTGTGGGAAACCAGCAGGAAGTCACAAGATGCCGGCGTGTGAGGTTCTCGCTTAAGAACCCATAATTTTATTTATTTTATTTTATATTTTTTATTCATATACCACCTTTGTTGTTTTTTATCAATAACCCAAGGGGGTGAACTTATCAACACTCCTCCTCCTATTTTCCACCTAACATCCCTGTGAGGTAAGTTGGGCTGAGAAGGAGGGTCTTGCCCAAAATCAAGGGGATACTGTTGGTATTGCCGTCATTAAATGATATAATTATATGACATTGTGCCTGACCACTGCATCCAGTCCCCATTTCTGTTGTTAAACAAAGACTACCTTTAGGGCCTTCTCGGTGGGAGCCCCCACCCTCTGGAACGAACTACCCCCAGAGATCCGGGTGATCCCGGATCTCCCCTCCTTCCGCCGCGCCCTAAAGACATGGCTCTTCCAACAAGCGGGATTGGCCTAGGGAATTTTAGTGGGGGTTTTTAAGAGAAATTTTAATTATATAGGCCATAGCAAATATTTCTTTTTAATTCGGTTTTAAATTAGGTATTTATTGTAACATTGGTTTTATAAGGCTGTCAGCCGCCCTGAGTCCGGTAAGGAGAAGGGCGGGATATAAATCGAATAAATAAATAAATAAATAAATATAACTTATATAAATTCAATAAATAAATAAATAAATAAATGAACTGAGTAATCTCAGAGGGATCACCCCCTTTGTTGACTCTCTTGAAAAAGTTACTTTTTCCATCTTTGCTTTCTTCAGTACCTGCCTGTTGATGAAGATTATTCCCCTCCCATTGAGCTGAAGGTGATTGATCACCGAGATTTTGGATATAAGCCAGTGGTGGGACAAGCAACAGTCAGATCTCTGAGTCAATATTACTGCAATCCGTTGGAAGAAAGCAAAGTCCACAACCTACCGCCCCGAGGTATAATTGCTAAATGTCTTAATAAGTCAGTTATCAATACGTTATTCATCAAACAGGAAAATAGGATAGCACAAAATAGATTCTTTTCATTTTTTTAACTTGACCACCAGTCTCTTGCAAACCAAAGCAAGATCCCCAGCCTCCTATTTATTTCCAATAATGTTTCTCTTCCATGATGTTTCCTGAGAAAAGGTTGTCAAAATCAATAAAGGAGAACATTTGTAGCTCAAGGTTGAAATGAGGGGTCTTGGTGCTCTCTGGATTTAGTTATCTTCATTACCCAAACTAGGTAACGTCATTATTTATTTATTTATTTATTTATTNGACGGCACCCTGAGGAGACCCACTCTGTGGGAGCGTACCGGTCTATGGGAGGGAATCTGTGGCAGAAGGCGGTCTCGGAGGTAGCCGAGTTAGCACAGTCAGCTCAGATTTTGGGGGCTTGTAGTCTACCTGCAACTAAGGTGAGGAGAAGCCAGTTGAGGTCACTGGAAGTTTCACAAAAACCCTTCTGAACTTTCTGAAGGACATGAAGTGATCACTCATTGAACCATACCACCTTAAGAGGGTGAATTCTGTTCCTGCTCAAACATTTATGAATTTTCTCAATGTATTTTTTCCTCCTAACAGTCACTAAAAAGATGAAGACTAAAAAGGTAAGTATTCCTATTGTTTGGTGTCACAATCAACATTTTGTTTCTTTTCTTCTTTGTGATGGGACTTGTGGTTTAGCACTTTAAGATGTATGAATTTCAACTCCCAGAATTTCCCAGCCGCCATGCTAAGAATACACTGATCTGATGTATTATTGTGCCTATTGTATTGTAGTGTGTTGTAGTACCCACTAAAACATCTTGGTTAAAGTGGTATGTAGGTACCATAAATAGAGAGGGAGGATCCTCCTTTTGTAGGAAGTGTATTGGATTAGTAGTAAAGTATTTGCTCCCTGGAGATTCAGATTGTCTTCACCAACCATAACTTCACCATCACCACTCAGGTTTTTAATCTCAGAATTCTCTAGAAGTAGAAAGTATAGCATGATGACTAATCCGTTGATGGAATTTTCTGAAGAGATTAACAGAATAACAAATTCTAGCAATAACTAATAATTAAGATTAATTCTGCTGCTTCTTACAGAGACTGAGCAGCTTTAAATTATGGTCATGGAGGAAATCAAAAGAAAAGAAGGTAAGTCAGGGTGAAGATCTAGCACCAGTTTAGTGCTGGCTGTTAGTTGACTGAGGCATGAGCAACAGATCAGCTCATCAGGAATTCAATGTATGGTCCTGAGTCTTCAAGCCTGACAGTTGGTCCCTGAAGATATTAAGAAATGAGGTCAACGCAAGGAAATCTTTTGGTTGGAGAGAGCAAGCCCAAAGATAAGCAAAGATCATTCCATTTGGAAAACATGGAGAGGGCCACGCTCAAGCTTCTTTCTTTATTTTTTGACAGATAGATGAAGAGGAGGAGGAAGAAGAAGAAGAAGAAATTGATTGGTGGAGCAAGTACTATGCAACAATGGGAGATTTATCAAAGAGTGGGCATTACCTGGAAAAGGGCTATGATAGCATAAAGGTGTGCTTTTAAGAGAAATATCATAGGAATACAGGGCAGGCAACAATTGTCACAAGAAACACCGGCTCTATATCCAATGAAAATGAATATTGTAAGCCATCGTTTGCAATCAGAGGCAATGCTGGCTGAGGAATTCAGGGACGTTTTTCAAAATACTTTCAGTTATTAAACTCAAGTAGGAATATTCTCATACAGACAAAACATCATGCAGCGTGGTAAATATACTCACTTACAATATGGGTTATGAGGAGGCCTAAATGCTCACCAATTTTGCAAATCAATAAATGTGTAAAATATTTGGACCATTTGTGGTTAGTTAGTACAGTAATGGAAGAATGCTCAGACTAGAGAATAAAAATTGTGCAAACATATACAGAGAAAGTAAAGTAAAAATCAACTGATTTTTTAAAATAATCTACTGAATACTTACATCCACAATATTGTAGGCGTCATACAAACAGATGTATTACATCTACAATATTGTAGATTTAATAATAATTACATCTACATTACATTTACAATATTGTAGAATAATAATTACAATAGTATAAGGATACATAGAGAATAAAGATCATGCAAACATACATAGAGAAAATAAAGAATATTTCAACTGAATTTTTTTTTCTAATAATTTGCTCCCAGATCTATAACTGTGAGCTGGAAGAAGTTCCCGAATTCCACGGTTTCCAGGATTTCTGTCAGACTTTTCAACTGTACCGAGGAAAAGTCCAAGATGATGACCCTGTTGTGGGGGGAGAATTTAAGGTGAAAACAAGACCCCAATCCCCCTCTCTGGCAAATCGCCTGAGGAAATTCACCCAGGAAATCTGGATTTCTATCCTTCCTGTTCTCTCTAAATTAGTCACTTCTCAATTTAAATCTTTATTATGTCATAGACCAGCATGTAGAATACAGAAATCACATTAATTAAATTAAATGCAAAAGAAAGGAAATGAATATATACAATGCTTTTTTTCTTTAAAAAAAAGGTGCCGGAACTCACACACATCATACAACCCGCCTTGCCTACCCTACAAGGTTCCATCCAAAAAAGGTGCTGGAACTCCGTTCTGGGCGTTCTATGAGAAAAAAAGCCCTGAATATATATAAAAATATTCTAAAATATCTAAGAGGACTTAGAATCAAACCTACAGCATAAAGTGGGGGCTCCTGCGCAGATTTGGCTGTAGACAGAGAGATGGAGTCAAGTTGGTCTGATAATAGCATTTTAATATAAAACAAATCAGAACGACAGGCTATTTAATGAAAAGTGGAAATAATAAACTCCTGACATGCTCCTGTATAGTGGGGACAAAAGAGTATAACGTGTTCCAATGAAAGGGCTTTTCATTTTTATGTTGATGTGTACAGATCTCCCAATTCTTTAATAACCTGTGGAAAACCAAATTGCAGCATCGTTGAGTCAGGGGAAACAATATCATTTGCTCATTTGCTCAAAATCACGGAATTTGTCTCAGGGAAAGAAATGCAGAAGTGGTTCTCCTGGAAGCCTCCACTGACCACCGCCTTGTTCTACAGGGCCTTTTCCGGATCTATCCTTTGCCAGAGGACCCCAGAATTCTGCCTCCACCACGTCAGTTCCAGGAGCTTCCTGCCAATGTCTCCCAGGACTGTCTGGTTCGCGTTTATATTATCCGAGCTTTTAATCTCCAGCCAAAAGACCTCAATGGATTGGTAATAATCTTTTCTTCATTGTTTTGCTGCAGTCATAAAAAATCCTCTTCCAGGGGCCAGTTGGTAGAGTTATTCAAGGTAAAGTTTGGAGCAGCAAATACAAACATTGACAACAACTGTCCATTAACTTCTATTTCATGTGCCTTGACTGGTGAACCTTGCAACTTCGATTTTGAACTGGCACCCGCTGATGAATCTGCTAAAGTTCAGCAGGTTTGGCTGACAAGAGTTCCAAATCAAAGCGGGATGAAGGAGAGTAGGCAGGCAGAGTCTAAAAGCTCTGACTCTCAGATTCCGCCTAGCTACTCTCCTTCATCCCACTTTGATTTGGAACTCTGATAAGCCAAACTTGTTGAAATTTAGGGAGAAACCTGTCTCTATTCTGTAAGTGTGTGTGTTTGTGAGCCTCATTTAAGAAAGAGAACAAAACCACCCCTTTGTGTCTTGTGTGTACTGGGCTGGGGACAGAACACGGAGAAGAGAATATAGAGATTTTTCTCTGCACCCCTTTACAGTGTGACCCCTACATCAAGATCAAGCTAGGAAAAGAAAGAATGGATGACCGAGAAGAGTATATACCCAACACCCTGGATCCTGTGTTTGGAAGGTCAGTCTAGCAAATTGGTTCTGGAAAACTGTCTTTTGGGTCAAATTGCTTTGTTGCTGCTGACCAGCATTCAAGTCACATGTTTAAACATAGTTTGGGACTGCAGAATACACTGAATACTACTCTTACATATGGAGCAGATTACCATGCTCGTCTCAAACGTGGTTAACTAATTTGTGGCAATAGATAGATGATGATAGATGATAGAGCAGACATGTCAAACAACAAGGCCCGCGGGCCGGATTCAGCCCATGAAGTGGTTTCATGTGGCCCGCGAAGCCATCCTGGAAACAGTGAGGGAACTGCCCAGGCCAGCCAGGAGCCAATATACAATTTCATGGTGGCCACCTATGCTGGAACACATTCAGTCTTAGCTCCACAAGGCCGTCCTGGAAACAGCGAGGGACCGGCTCCTGCCACATCAGCCCTGCCACCTAGGCGCACGCTGGGGAGGTGTCACCTTTCATGAGGAATGAAAAAATGCACCATCGCCTGGATGTGGCCAGCAAATGGCCCTTGCCTACTTCACATATCCGGCTTGGTGAGCTCTGGGGGAGGGGATGCTGTGAGCAGCATGAGAGTCAATGTTATTTGCACAATGCACCCAGCCCCCAACCTGCCTGGTTTTGGCAGGCAGCGGGGCACTCTCCTCACAGTGCCAAGAGGCTGGGCTGGGCGGTGCAAAGCTGGCAAGCTTCTGGAACCCACCAAGCAGGATATGTGAAATAGGCGAGAACCATCTGCTGGCCACTTCCACGCGATGATGCGTTTCTTCATTCCTCATGAAAGGTGACACCTCCCCGCCATTTCCTGAGAGCTAGCTTCCCTTCTATCTTACCGATTTGCTAATCCCTAATAAAGTTTACACTAGAGCAGGGGCATCAAACTCGCAACGTCATGTGACGTGTCGCAACATAGTGTACTTTTTTTCCATTGCCGGCAATTAGGTGGGTGCAGTTTTATTATGATGCATCCGGCCCCCGGGCTGGCAGTTTGACACCCCTTCATTAGAGAATGCAATGTCTCTGGTGCTTTGCCTTGTTGGGTTTGTTAGCCAGAATTTAATGTCTTCTTTTTTTCTGTGATGTCTCAAGAACATATGAACTTACATGCACCATCCCATTAGAAAAGGACCTGAAGATCTCCTTATTTGATTTTGATCTATTTTCACCTGATGACCCAATTGGGGACACCACCATAGACCTGGAGGACCGACTCATGTCTCATTATGGGGCCAACTGTGGGCTGCCACAGACTTACTGTGTGTAAGTACTAAGGCTATGTGTGAGTAATCCCATCTTTCTCATCATAGTAGCTTCCAGATGTTTGGGGAGTCATCTCCCAGAAATTCCCAAGAATATCTTCTCAACTTTAGAAGTTCAGGTTGCTTTCATCTACCACATGCAGGAACTGGAAATGTCTAGTCTCACAAACAGAAGGACTAGGGAAGACATGATGGCAGTATTCCAATATTTGAGGGGTTGTCACAGAGATGAGGGGGTCAACCTATTCTCCAAAACACCTGAGGGCAAGACAAGAAGTAACAGATAGAAACCTAACAAAGAAAGATCCAAACTAGAAATAAGGAGGAATTTCCTGACAGTGAGAACAATTAACCAGTGGAACATCTTTCTTCCAGAAGTTGTGGGTGCTCCATCACTGGAGGTTTTTAAAGAAGAGATTGCATAGCCATTTGTCTAGAATGGAACAGGGCCTCCTTCTTAAGGTCCCTTCTAACTCTGTTATTCTGTCCTAAAGTGATACCTTCAAGAAAAAGCACAGTATTTCTGAAAATGTTCTCTTGTTTAACCTCTTCTCTCTCTCGCAGGGCTGGCCCCACACAGTGGAGAGATCAGCTTCTTCCAAGTGAACTCTTGGAAAATCACACTCAGGCCAAAAACCTGCCTCAGACCGAGATAAGTGAAGATGGAAGCAAAGCCATTTTCATGGGTAGAACTTATCTGCTCTCTGACTTTGGTGAGTTTCCAGGAAATTTTTAGTACTGTATGGTTTGGGGCAGTGTTTCTCATCCTTGGCAGCTTTGCATGGACTTCAACTCCCAGAATTCCCACTGCTAGCTGGGGAATTCTGGGAGTTGAAATTCACATAGCTGAAACGAGGTATTTCCTTGTGGTCACCAAAAGTGAGCTTGATTGAAGGTGTCGTTACCTTGGAAGTGGAGGTTGGCAGCTCAGGGCAAATTCAGAGACTCCTTGAACTGTTGCAAAGCCAGGTAAGAAAGCTATGGAGATGCCTGTAGAAAGTCAAGTAACAGAAGTTGCTACCTCGCAATCTGTCTGGAAACCTGGTTAAGGGTTTCCCTAGCTATCACCCTTCTCCTGGCCAAAAGGAAAGGCAAAGGAAAGGGAATGAACCAAATTTTGGAACTCCTTGCTTTCACTCATTCTCAGTGTAGATTCTTCCTCTTATCCCCACTTTTAAAACTATAACAATGAATATCTTGCCTACTCAAAGCCTTGGGTTCAATTTGATGGGATTCCATCTGATGTTTCCTCCTTTCAGAGACCAAATTGCCTTCGCATGGATATCTGGGACCTGCCAAAGAGCGTATGGCCCTCCACCTTCTCCGGACGTGTGGATTGGTCTCTGAACACATAGAAACTCGCACTCTGTACGACTCAGCTCTACCTGGAATTGATCAAGTAACCCTTAATCTCACATTCAGATTTTCACACTATGCTTGTTAGCTGATAGAAAGAAGAATCAGACAGTCCAGGGAGGGGGGACAATACTGTAAGTTTCAGAGGTTGGGAAGGTTGGGAGGTTAGAGCACCCAAGGGTTTACCGGACACATTTATTTATCTTCTACAACAGCTCCACAACTTCACAATTTGGTGGTCTCCATATGGATTACAAATGCAAATTTTCCAAGTTTTCTGGAAATGGGTTCTTGATCTTAATCACCAGGGGGTGGAGGGGAACATAGAAAGATTAAGCGTATACTTTGAGTGGGAAACCTTCGGATCAAGCTTCGCTTCATCTGTAACTGCTTGGCTTTAGTAAATCTGTATACCTTCAGTCCGACACCATTTTGTTTCAGTTCTCTTGCATTTATTTATTTCAATCCATTTGCTTCCTTTCTGCCAACAGAAAGCTGTGAATTAAACCCATAAAAGACCCCAGTGTTTCTCTTTTGTGAATATTTTAAACCTGAGTTGTACAGTACATTTAAATTCAGTTGGACAAGCCAATGGGATAGCTACATTTTTAAAAAAATCCTCAAGGGCAAAAGATGATGTGATGTGCTTAGATGACTATTTCATCCATTTCATCTATTATTTGAGTTTTTTATGCCATTTGATTTTCAGACAATAAGGAAAGATATACATATTTTATTGAATAAATGAATGAATGAATGAATGAATGAATGAATGAATGAATGAATGAATGAATGGCAGAAAGTCACAAAGCTTTTTAAGATGTAATAAATTAAATCAGATACCTGTGGAGTTTTCTCTCCTTTGTGGACATAGGCAAGGAGCACTGTCAAAAAAAAAAGTGAAGATGGTGACCACAGCTGCTTGGTTGAAGCCCTCCCCCCTCTTTCTTACATGCATTGCATGCACAATGCATGCAAAAGGAGTGGAATTCCAGATCCAGTCTGCCACCTTGAGTTTTCTGAGTCCTCCTATGGACATCCCTGACAAGGAAGAGGAGGAATTCCTGCTCAGCAAATCTGTCATTATAAATATTGTCCTATAAATCCTGTGCCTCTCTCCTATCCAGGGTAAACTGCAAATGTGGGTGGACATCTTCCCACTTTACTTGGGTGACCCAGGACCTCCTTTTGACATCATCCCACGAAAGACCAGAAAGTAGGTGCTGCCAATTTGTGTAAAGTTGGTTTTCCTAAGACTAAACGTCAGGCTGCCACCTCAGGCTTGCTTGTGCTTCGCTGATATGTGGCCTAAAGAGGAAGGGGCTGGACTAGGAACAGAAAAACCCGCATACTAGTTCTTTCTTGGCCACAAAAGCTCGCTGAGGGACTCTGGATCAATTACTCTGTCAAGAGCCAGAGTTTGTTTATTATTTAGCATATGGCAAATTCTGAAGTCTTCTCATAATGATGTGTTGTAAGCCAGGAGACCACAAGGACTTTCTGGCTGCCAATTAGCCAATTCTATGTTGTTGCTCAGAGGATGCCCAAGCGTAGCCTCCTCTTTCTGGAAGCTTCTTCCTTGTCCTCCAAGAAGCAAAGTGAGGTAGCGGCAACCTTGTTGAACTAGGAATGGGAAGGTCCAGGTTCAAGTTCACTCTCTACCAAAAGGAAAGTATAAGGTCCTGCCTCAGCTAGTTCTCCCAAGAAAGCAGAACTCTTGAAACTGGCATTGTTTCAAAAGGAACTTTTATTGAGAGATAGTGAAAGCAGAACGGCAAGGCAAGATCTGAATAGTCCCGTGCAAAAACATTACATTAAACCCCTCTCTTCAAAACTCCTCCCAGATGCCCAAATGCCCAGTCCATCTCCATTTCCAGCCAATCCAAAGGTGTGAAGTTGTTATGGGAACTGGAGGCTGAGAGAGAGAGAGATATAAAGTGCTTTTCCCAGGCATTGCATCCTCTGCTCCCCGGAGTAGAGATAAGGCAGATGGCCCCAGGCTCATCCCTCCCCATTTCACACCCAAAATGAACAAAGTGAAAGAAACACATCACAGACAGCTCAAAGATTCCCCCCTCCCAACAGAAGGGCAACGTCCCGACAGGGATCTGGGGGGGCTGACAGAAAGTTGTATTTTCTCTTCTTTCTAGATACGAACTACGCTGCATAATTTGGAACACCAAAGACGTAGATCTTGAAGATACCAATATTTTTGGAGACAAGATGAGCGACATCTACGTGAAAGGGTATGAGATAAGCAATGTTGGTGGGGAATTGCAGTCCCAAACAATTGCATTTTTTATAAGGAATCCATTTCCACCATTCTTAATAGTATGGGGTTGAGGTTTTTTTTCCTCCAATGAAAGAAAGCGGTTCCACAATATTCAAAAGTAGTAACATAAATACAACTAGAGGTCATCAGTCCCAAAGTTGGCTGGTTTTCTTCTGAAACCAAAAGTAACATAACTCTTCCCATCTCTTCAGCATATGAGCAGGAAGAGGAGATACAGAAAAAGTTCATGGAGATCCCTCACTCTGGCCCTGTCTTTTATCCAATCCTATCTTTCCTTTGGCTAAGGCCAGTCTAAAGAAAAGAAGAAACAGGGGTGACATGATAGCAGTGTTCCAGTATCTGAGGGGCTGCCACAGAGAAGAGGGGGTCACATTATTCACCAACGCACCAGAGGGCAGGACAAGAAACAATGTTTGGAAACTGAACAAAGAGAGAAGCAACCTGGAATTAAGGAGAAACTTCCTATCAGTGAAGACAATTAACCAGTGGAACAGCTTGCCTCCAGAAATTGTGGGCGCGCCATCAATGGAGATTTTTAAGAAGAGGATAGACAGTCACTTGTCTGAGATGGTATAGGTTCTCCTACTTGAGCAGGGGGCTGGACTAGAAGACCTCCAAGTTTCCTTCCAGCTGTATTCTATTCTAAGGCCTCAGTCCTGCTTGTTCTCTTCTTTGCATCCCCTGACAGCCGCTCCTGAATTCCTACTTCTGCTCCTCTTTCCTTGTTCATCCCGTAACCCAAAACCATAAACTCTTCTGTGAGAAATGGAGAATCAAAGCAGCCATTGACTGGAGCTTCATTTCCACCACCATCCAGTTCCTTCATGCATTTCCACACAACCTACAGGCCTATCAGAGAGTCAATGGACATTGCCACTTTCATTTCTGTCTACGCCTGTTGGCCAAAACTCCAATCCAATTGCATAATGCACCATTCACAACATCTGTCCACACACTTGAGTTGACTAAAAATATTTCTGTCCCTCTCC